TTGTTTTTTTTATTTTTGTTGCTTGTTGCTTTAACTTTCTTAAAAAGCAAAACAATTTAATTTGTCTTAAAAATTAAGTTTTATTTCATTGACACATATTGAAACAATATCGGACGTTGAAAAATAAGTACATTATTGCATTTGAATGAACAGTCTATATGATATATGAGTGTATATTAAATAATGTTAACATTATATTATGTAAGGCATAACAAAAGAATCATACTCTATTTATTATAGATGTAAGTGTAATTCTTAGTTTAAAAATGAAATGGACTTATTTATTTTAATTATGTGGTATAGACTTTATAGACTCAAGTATCAAAATTATAAAAATAATAATGTTTAATTTAAAGTTATATGTAGAACTTATTAACACATAATGACATCATATAATATGTAAAATAATAGTAATAATCAATATGTATAAATACATTTTATGTAACTATTTTTTTTTTTTTAAATAACTTTCTAAATAAACAACAATGTTGTTTTCAATTTTATTGTATACAAGCACATGGGTGCCCAGAGAAGGGGTAAGACGGGGCATTCCTCCCCCCTAAAAAAAATTAATTGAATGGAAAATAACAAGGTTTTCAATCGAACAACTGCGAAGACTTCAGTTTTTATTTGATTACAACTAAAGTGTGTACAATTCTGACATATTTTATTATTTGTTAAGAATACATTTTTTTTTTAATATACTTTTTGGTGTTCGATTTAATCATGCCCCCCTCCTGATAAATTTCCTGCGATCGCCCATGTACAAGCACAAGAGCGTGTCTAATTTTCATAATTACGAGTATAATGCAAAAGTACCATTACTTTATATTCACTCTACTAAAATAACGTGATGGTAATTTTCATTATTGTAAAATTCTCCAGATAACTTATAATAAGTAGAAAATATATTTATAAATATCAAATCTTTATTTAGGGACTCAACTTTTATGAATTTATTTTCAGTATGTAATATATATATATATATATATATATATATATATAGGGTTTAAACTAAATCCCTGTAGTTTTAATTTATAAATCGTTTTAGTAAAAGCGCTTATTTTTTATTTTGTCGTAAAACATAAGCCCAAAATATACTATTAAATTATATTGGTTAAACCAGTTATTTTTAAATATAATAATATATAACCATTTGGACATGATGAAAACTATTCGTCTGAAAATCAATTTTTGAAATATGCAAGTGGTTCTAAATTTTTTATGTAAAAAAAAAAAAATTAAGATTCCAAAGCAATAATCTCTCCAACAGCCATAGTCTATTTATGAAATAAGACGTGCTTTCTACCCGATGTCATTTTGAACGAATCTATTTCATAATGAAAACAATTTGATTGGGGGGAGTAATTTGTTTCATATGACGTAATAATTGGAAAATTCTTTGCCTTTATGTTTGATAGCTCTAGAAGTTGAAACAGACGATAAAACAAAAAAAAACATATTCTTTGACTAATGATTATTATTATAAACAGTTTTATGCAGTAAATTTATGCTGCTTCAATGACTGTATTAATTGGTTGAAAATCTATTACATTTATTGGATTAATTATTTATATTTATGAATATTCTTTGAATAATACATATGATACGACCGTTATAAGACTCATGCAGTGCAAAGTTTGTGAACCACTCAAATTTGTTTTGAAAACCATTTGTCGGTACACGGTGTTGATGGTGCGATCGATGTGGACCGACTATGAAAATTGGAAATATTTTTTTTCATATGTAGAACTTATATACCTGTATATACACATATGAAAACTTAATATAAAAGAAACAACATATTTTGTTTATTTTTTTTTTTTCGAAGTCTGTTGCTTATATAATACTTGTAGTGTAGAGTGTTAAGTAACCAATTTCAAAAATGTATTCTATACTTTTGGAGATTCATTAAAAAAGAAAAAAAAAGAGTAAGAAAAAAAACTTGTGGAAAATGTGAACTAGTGGCTTAACTTTGTTAAAATTAACAATATTATATTGTTTTATTGATGTTTGTTGAAAAGTTGAAATTTCTCGTTAAGTTTATTGAGGATAATTTAAGTTATAATTTATATTTATAAAAAAAAAAGTTACCGAAAATAATTTGTATGATTAACTGATATTATTTAATCTTTTTTTATTTTTTTTATATCAAAGTTTTACTATTAGATGTTAAAACGAATTACACGGTAAATTAATTATCTTTTAAATTAAAATATCTACAATCTCAGTCACAAAAACTATCATATTATTATAATAGATAATATCAAATCAAATATAAATACAGTTTTAAATTTTGTTCTTGTGGTAATCTTGAACCAAGGGTTTATTAAGTATGATGTCTTACTTTACAAAAAAAAAAAGAAATAATATTTCTAGTAAGCATTAAAATATTTTAGTTTATAAAAATATCATATACATATTATAAATTCTAAATTTATCATAAATAAATGTTAAAAAAAAAATAAATGATGACGTAAAATAACGACTGCATAATATAAAATAAAATAAATTTTAAAAATTAAATAAGAGTGTAAACAATTTTATCACCACCCTACTCAAAATGTTTGCATACGTCTAGGTGTGTTATAAATAGTAATGTGATGAGGGTCTGAACTGATTGAGAAATATCCATTGTATCGTAGCTTCTACGTATATGAATATATAAATGAGTATTAAGCTTAAAAATAGAATAGGAATAATTTATTCTTATTTTATGAATTAACAAAATTAATTTAACTATATCATGTTAAATATAGTTCATGAATAAATATATAATACTATCAGTTACTGTATGATTTCAATAACAGTTTTGAAAATAACAAATCCTTTATTATGTATATAAAAACCAATGTATATACGAGTAAATGTATAAAAATAAATCAACTGATTATATAACTGAATATTCACATTACAAAATTGTATCTATAGAATTAGCGAAAAAAATAATTTGTAAATATAATAGAAAATGTAATATAAGAATGTACATTTTCAATCATATATTCTTGTACGTAATTCCAGGGACTGGAACCTATAGGTTTTTTTCGATTTTGGTTTCGGTTTTGGTTGTTCTATTAATTTTTTAAGGGTTCCGGTTTAGGTTTCGGTTTTTTAAAAGAGTAAGGGTTCTAGATTTCGGTTAACTCTGATTATTAGAGATTTATGAAAAAATAATAATATGAAATTATTTATTTATTCTTGTTTAAATTGTAAATGTTGCATTTCATGGAAGGTATTATGAATAGTTAGAAAAAATTATTATAAATATACTAAATATATATATATTATATCAGCTTAAGCCTATTATATTTTTTTGAGTTAGGTTGTTATTTTATTCCAATTCATAGTAAGAATTTGTAAAATATTTTGTAATATTGTGAAATATTATGATTTGATGAAATAAATATTTTTACTTTAAAATTTAATTTTAATTAGGAATCAAAGTTAATACTGGCTACTGTTGTAGCTACAAATTTTTTATAAATATTAATTATATTTAATACTTAATAGACAAGATAGATAATATATTCATTGTAAATTGTAACATATTAATTAAGATATAATAATAATAATAATAATAATAATAATAATATTACAAATTTACTTATTATATGCATTACACTATTACAGTTTACAACACAAAATAATAATAACATAAAAAGATTTGACTTTTATTTTTCTCAACTGACAAATGGACAAACAAAACAGTCATTACCATAGTTTTACTAATCTAAATAACTGACCTAAATTAACCCTTTTATAATAAAAGTTACGGTTTTTCATTTTTGGAAATAAAGGTTCCGGTTTCAGTTACGGTTCCTAAATTTTAAGGGTTAACCGGTTCCAGTACCGGTCCTTTTCGGTTACGGTCTTGGGCCCTGCGTAATTCATGCATGGGCCTGTGGACGGTGATGCCCGGGTGTGCCCGGGCATCCCTCGAAATGTTGTAAGTTGGGCCTTACAATTAAGTCTAAGAGTAAGGGACCCGTATTTTAACTGATGTTGTTCAAATGAAATTTAATTAATTCAAAAATGTTCGAAAAAAATAAACGATAATTCGCGATGGAAAAAAATAATACAAAATATTCTAAATTTTCGTGTAAAAAAATATTATGATAACAGCTACAATTGATTAAAAAAGTATAAATCAAAAATAATTTAAGAAAATGTATGAGATTTAAGAAAATATATTGAAATTAGGACTAATATATCATAATATTAAATGAAAAATAAGTGATTTTTATTTAATTATGTATACATTATAATTTATTAAATTTATCTACACGTTTTTTTTTAAGACCGGGTCCAAAATTATTGTAGTCACCCTTTGAAATACAGGTTTGCACACGTCTATGAATTCATGTATCTAATTAATTTTAGGAATAATTATGGTCATAAAAAATTAAGTGTCATTTATACAAAGTTTTGACTGTAATTGATTAATTTATTAATTACGTATTAGAGCAGATATTGTATCTTAACCCATTAAAATATTTCAAGTACTTTTTAAATCAAATATATTATCATAGCCCATAATCCAAACAATTATGTTTCATTAATGATCATTTAGTGTATATTTTATCTTATAATTTTATTTTTAGAGTCTGGGTAAAACGAGGAGTGTATTTAAAATTATATTTTTCTATCAAAATTATCAACATATCTTCTATATGAAAATAGGTCCGAGATCGACTGATTTCAACGACATCATTTTTAAAAACACTACTTTATATATTGAATAGTTTTGAGCTAAACTCTTTTGTGTTTACTACCAGTAGTGTTAGTAACAAACAGTCTCCCTAGTTACTTGTCTTATTAAAATAATAATAATAATACATAATAACGCATGGCTCGATTAAGCATTTGTTGTAAATACATAGCGTAAGTTTGACGTGGTTCTGTTGTTAATTTCGTTTTCATCAATAATATAATATAACGTACTATGTGTTTAAGTGTCAACAATTTTATATTATTTTAAATTAAAAACATAAACCGAAATTAAGTCTGTTGATGATTTATTGAATTATTCTCGCTTTGAGGGTAGGGAAATATATTATTATAACTTAGATAAAAATATTTGTTTTTATATGTATTAAGCAAGATAAAAAATTAAAGTGCACTAATTATAGGCTTACATTCGTTGTATACTATGTACTTCCAAGTTTTTTATTACAAACGCGTGTACACGTGTGTTTTACACTATTGCATAGGTATGCATGCTTATAATTTAATGTATATTAATATTTAATTACGAGAGAGCTCATTGGGGAGTTATATTGTTTTTTGGTGATGAAGATCCAACAAAAGTAAAAACCTGGAAACATAATACTTAAAAAAAATTTTATTTTTTTTATTTTTTTAGAAGTATTTTTAATATGAAGGCAAGAATAATAAAAATCAATTTAATAAAAATTTTGAAATTTGTTCAGTAAGCAAATATATTTACTTACATAAACTATTCAAGTTCAATGATTGGAAAATGTTATACTATTTTATCTAGTACAGCATTTCTAAAATATTTTTTTTATAGTCATTAATAAAGATGGAAATTCTAGATTGTTTATTTTTTAATTACTATTTCACGTAAACCACTAGTTTAATTAAACATTAAAAACTACTTATGGTAAAAGAATATTATTTGAAACAATGGAAATCATAATTATTAATTGTTATATATTTTAAATTATTTTATTATAACAGATGTCGGACGACCCAAAAGAAAATATTACTTTCATATCTGTTAGCCCAGATGAACTTTACGAGCAGATAGAAGATAAAGATGAAACGCCATGTGGAGGCAGCAAATGCATAACGGCAAGGTAAGCTATACTTGAATAATTTAAATTAAAGCTATTAACACATTTTTTTTTATTGGTGTTTTACTTATAGCGTTATTATTAATTTGTTATATCTTCCAATAATTTATATTTCCTAGCGATATTATGCTTTGAGGAAATTATTGTTTAATGAGGAATCAAACTTTATAGCCAGTTGTGCACATGCATTGATACAATTAAGTGAAATCTATAGAATTATACAAATAACATACTTATTAATATATCATAATATTAAAACAATAATAATAATAATAATAATAATTTGGTGTTGGCTTATTTGTTCCAACATTATAATGATTTAAATGGTAAATAAAGTAAATCTATAAATTAATTGCTATTACTTTATTAGGTATAAAAAAAAAAAAAAAAAATTAAAGTTTGATAGTATAACTATGTACTGTATTTATGAACGACATTCTTATGTCTTAAATAACATTAAGTTTTATTTACTAATCGGATCAGACTCTTTTCAAATAAATGCTTTAAACATACTTAATAACAATCTATATGGATATACATTATTGTAATAAGAAATTACAATAATATTTAACATAATAATGGTAATAATAGATTAATTTAACACTTATTCTAAATTAAACTTCTGACTCTCCCGGTTAAGTTGATAAATTACTAACTCGAATGTTGTGTAATTAGCTTATACAGAACTTCAAACTATAAGTTGTAAAGAAATGTTGGCCTGGTTTGGTTTGGTTGGAACTATTAGGAGAGTGTAATGGACGTTCGCACATGTACGTTTGTGATAAGCGGAGAAGTATAAAATCAAAAATCAATAACCGTCCTAAGATATTAAACATTTTTTTGCACGTTTCTGAAAAAGTGTTTACAAACTAAAAACGTGGGTAGAGAAATATATATTTAATTTTTGAATATACATATTTGTACTGTTTTTGTACTTGTATTACTAATTATAATATGTTTATAACAATCTTACGTTTTAACGGTACAGGCTAAAAAAATTGTTTGCCACTCAAAGTTTGGGAATTTCTTACTAAGCTTATGTATATATATATATATATATATATATAGATGGTGTTTTGTTAGAAGGGCCTATACCATATAATTTAAATTGTTCAGGGGGAACAAAATAGTGTTTTTTAAAAATGATGTTGTTGAAATCAATCGATCTCGGACCTATTTTCATATAGAAGACTTGTTCATAATTTGATTTAGCTTATCATTTTAATTTTTAAACATGCATGGATTATATTTGTTATTATTCAAAGTGATAATAGTCGTGGTATGCGCCTTTTATAAAACCAGATTTTCGAACGCCCATGCGTTCACAGTTTACTCATGTGGTATACGCCCATTTACCAGTTTAATATGCTAGAATCTAAAAACTAAAACAAAAAACAAATATAATATTATTTTGATATGTACGCAGTCAATAGTATTATAATTATTATTTTAAAACAATGTATTATTGATAACGAATTTGATATTGAATAATGATTGTTTTGTATGATTTTCTTGTCTAATTATTATCAATTAAATAATGAAACGAAATTTAACAATTATTGGTCAACTGACATTTAGTTAACTGTTACATAATAATATATTTAATAATAAAAATATAATTTTAAATTAAAAAAGTCACGAAAATTCAAGTACAATAGTTTTATCAGAGAAAAATTACCTTTAGTTTCTATGGTAAACTCCCTTTTTAACATTTTCTGTATGAATATTTTTTTTTCAACTGATATACAGTTATTATAAGATATACTTATACTTCTCAATATTTTTAATCACCATTTTTACAGATTATGCGCCTATTTTTTCTGAAAATGTTGATACCAAATATTCATTTTACGAATTTTTGTGGTAAACGCACTTTTAACAAAACACCATCGATATATATATATATATAAATATATAAAACAATTTTAAAATTTAGTAAACAGTTTAAGAAAATAATTCATATCTAATAAAAAAAAAAAATTCCCTCTAAAGCTGATAATTACAATTCAGACACAGCAGCCTTGAACCGAGTGGTAAATATTTTAAAACAAATAAGAACATAGAATAAATATCATCATGCGTTAAGTGGTGGAGTATGGGAATATCAATTTTTAAAAAGTAGTTCTACCCATGAAAAGTTTAGGCACCCTTGGGCCAAAGGATTTTGTTTTTAATGTCTGTTTTAAAATAACGATGCTTGACGCTTATTATTTTGAATTAATTTATTTTTCCAGATGGTTGAAACCAGTGAAAGTTCATGAACTGAAATTCGTGTCCAAAGACGTATTAGTGATACATGTTGGAAAGACGTTAATATTTTATAACGTGAAAACACTAAGAGAAGATCTATTAGTAGTGGGCGGTAATAAATCGATTTCGTTTGGCGGCGACAGTCTGCCTTTGGATGGTATTGGATGTGTTGATTGTTGTGGTATCGATTTACTGGCATTGGCCGAACAGTCACCAATAGCCAAGGTGATAATATGCCGGTATCCAGACTTCAAGGTGATAGCAACTCTTACCGGTAAGCTGTAAGCATTCAATAATTTGTATCAGTACATAGTTATTGGCCAGTGTTGTACAGGGACGGGTAAAATTGTTTGAATATCGATATTCGATGTAGCGATATATCAATTTTTAAAATATCGATGTGTTCGGTGTATCGGTGAAAAACCATCGAAGTTTAAAAACATCGAAAACATTTTTTTTCCCTCTAGAGCTGCCATCTGTTGCACATCTTATTATCTGTATAGTGTACTATTTTCTTGATTAAATAGTAAATTCAAGAGTTAAAATACTATTTTTTAACTTATATTTTTTAAATACATAATAAAAATTCGTTTCATACAATGGTAATAAAAATCTAAAGCTTTAGGGAAAAAGGACGGGAACGCCGAAAAGCTACAAACTAATGTGTCAATTTGTATATAATAATATAATATAACTAATGTAATGGAAATGTGTCAATTCCAGTTTTATGTTCAAATCAAAATATTGCTAATTAATTTATATTTTCCAAAATTTCTCACGGAACCCTTCACGCAAGCTCACGGAACCCTTAGGTTCCGCGGAACACCAGTCGGGAAACACTGATCTAGATCATTGGTCACCAAATGGTGGCCCGTGAACAAATTTTATCCAACCCGTAGACAAAAAATAAAAACACATATTTCGACAACATTCTATGTTTATAATATTTGTAATATTAATTATGTTCTTAATGTTTAAAAACAATAGCAAATAATAAATAAAATAATGTTCTCATTACAACCAATTTTTAAATAATACCTATTGTCCTATTATATGTTGAAAATATGTACTTAGAATTTTAATGGCTCGCGAAAGTTTCAGATTTCTAATGTGGCCTTTAAAAATATTAATTGGTGACTACTGATCTAGATAATAGATAAAAGGTGACCACTTTTATCTAGATAAAAAACCAGATAATTAAAATTAAATATTTCAAGCTTACTCCAGCGGATTCCATTTTTTCGGATACTTAAGATACTTAAGATACTTAAAAAATGTATATTTAGATAAGATAGAAAGATAACTATATTTTATTTAGATAAGCACAACACTGGTTATGATTATTGCAATATTTCTCAGTTGCCAACATATTTGATAGTATAGTATCTAGTTAAAATATTCAAACATCTATGGAGGGAAAAAATAGTACCTATTCAGTTAATAATATACATGCCACATTATAATAATATAATAATATTTATGCTTTTGTGTATTTTATGACAAAAATAATTTGAAAGCATACACAAAAGCATTACGAGTATATGTTTTTAATTTATTAATCAATGGAATACACCAAGCAATACTAGATCACTACAATCAAACGCGTTAAAATTTAGTTCATTCGATAAGTAAATGTAATAAAAATTACATTACATAAGAATAATTTCATTATGATTACAATTTTTGAGCTATAGAAGTTCAGTGGATTACAATTCATTGGGATTCTTTTGATGGACCATCTGCTAAAAGATCCACGAAAGTAGCTTAAAAAGTTTGTGGTATAATAATATATAAAGTATAAAAACGGCGTTGTTCAAATGTCCAGCTTCGAGTAAAACAAAAAAAAAAAAAAAATATATATATATGTATAATATAAACCGATCGATTATTAACAAAAACGTTGTAATAGTAAATTCAATGAATTTGTTTACTGTGCTACGCCAACAGTGGACTTATAGAAATGTAAAGGATTCAAAATTAATTATTGTAAAGAAACTTGTTGTGATTTAATATCATACCTGTATCGCTATAATTTTTATTCGATAACGTCTGTTCATCCGTACAGTAATTTCACTGTATGTGTTCAACACGCCATTTTTTTTTATCTTCAATTACATACCTAGAAATGTGCAAATAATACGAAGTTTGAAATCTATTTTTTTAATGATACAATAACTGCTGTACAAAATAATTTCGAATAATTTCAGACAACAGTAGCATCGCAGCGTACAAGTCCATATTGTTTCTACGAACAGAATACTTAATTGGTCTGCGGGATTACCCAGCATTTGATTTGATTGTATGGGCATGGAGAGTCCAAGAGAAACTATTTGCCGTCAATACGGGCTTTATTCAGCCGGATCAATCTATAAAGTGAGGATAAAAATAACATACTAATAATCTCATAAAGTTTAGTAGGAATCACTGGTTATAATTTTTTAATCCAGTACATTTAGTTCTATAAACATTTTGTATTTTTGAACGCTTAAGCTCTGTCAACCAATCGAATAGATATATGAGTTAACGTAATTGAAAATTACTTTGTAATAATTTGCTGTGATATTATGTTAATAGTTACTTAAAAGTAAGAACTGTTTGATTTATCTACTCGTATCGATATTAAATATATGTGACTCGAGTTTTTTAGTCCAACAATAAATTTGACAGCCGTGGTTCCATATCGTTAAAATATCGATTCGTGTATTTTATCTTATAATATTTATATTTATAGAACTGTAAACATGTGATATTTTCAATTTTTGAAAATTTAAAAATAAATCAAATTAATTAAATTAACAATTAATTTAATAAATTAAATTTTTTAAATATCTGCTGGTCACATAGTACATGGATATTTAGATTTCGTGTGCACGAATCATTGAGTTGGAGACCACAAAATTATAGGTTCCTCCTATTCTGCTTTACCGGGAATATTTGTGCCGAATGACGGTAACCGACCTTAATAATTGACACTTGTTAGTGATATTTCATGTACTATCGGGTATAGGTTTTTTTAAAGGAATCTTGTTTTTTTTTAATGAAAAATAAAATAAATCAACTGTAAATCAATCAGTTGTTAATAGATCATAATGTTTTCATAATGATTAATTTTTTTATCAAATTCAAATATTTCACGAAGAAGTTATTTATCACAGTTTGTAAGACCCTGTGCAGTCATTATCTTTCTATGTCTCCGGCCGTCCGTCTGTCTGTCTGTCTGTTTGTCTGTCTCTCTTTCTATTTGTCTATCTATTAGTCAGTAAATCTGCTTGTCCACATGTTGGTATATTTATATATTCTCACGCAGTCTTTCGGCGATCGGCCGTGACGTCTACCTGAGTCACACGGAACGCGACGTGAGATGCAAACTGCAACTGTGGACCGTGTTTATCGGCTGCAAGACCGTGTATGCAGAACGGACCCAGGTCAATTTACCGGACCACATGGACTTGGAATCGGGTTGCTGGGCGCTCGGTGGTTGGTTCGTGTTCTGCGATTCGTCGGCGAACGTCTATCGTACGCAGCCCGGTTTCGGGATTTCCGAGATGTGCGTTGAGCACGTAGGCGGCATCAGCGGTAAAGGGGAACGACCGTGTCACCCATTTCTGTGCCCCAGTAAACAGGGATTCGTTTTGTACGCGGCCGACGAACTGGTGGTATGCGTGGATTGATTTTATAAGGAATAAGGATAGGAGGGGCTAAGGATGTACGTTGACTGGGTTTGATTTGTCTGTAGTACATATTGGGCCCGATTGAAAGGTCAATGGTGTACGATTTATTTCACGTAGCCACTGTCCAAACGCTAAGAACGAACATTTCATATACAAATCTATAAATTATATTTACCATAACTTTTAAAATTATAATTATGTGTAGATATTAAATAATTAAAAATTATTTACTATGTATTTTTATTATTATTTATTATTTATTAAAAATTATTTAATTATTTATTAATTTTTAATTACCATCTGTATACATGTTTGTAGTGCGAGGGTATATTTTCAGTATCGTACGACCAATTTAAAGATCGATTCGGACAACCCAATGTCAAAAGCCAAATTTAATTTAACTGTTTATTTACATTTTTATAATAAAATACTTCATTTCATGATTTTAACAGACATATTAAAAAATTAAGGAAGACAGTGGCGTTTTTTGGCTATGCTTAATAATCATGCATGATGAAATAAATTAATTCGTTGTGATTTATATTGTTTTCCTAATTTCAAGAGCTTATGGTATACTGTTTTAACGCTTTGGCACTTGCGCGATGTAGGGTTTCAAAGAAGTCAAAGGCGTTTACACGAAAATCTGGACGATTGCTGTAAGCTATACGTTGCAGAGTGTCGTGCAGGCCGGAGATTACGATTTTTACGGCTGGTCGGACGAGGTAATATTTTAATCAATCATATTAACTATAAAGTGCAGTGAATATTTATTACTGTTGTTTTGTTCCTCGGTTTGAATTTATTTTTATTTTTTAATTATTATTTATTGTAACTGTTCTCGATTTTTTTCGAACCATAACCAATTGTCAGGGAACCACGACAATGGTATTCACGTTAACAGTGTTAGGAAGAGTAACGCAACGGAAAGTAATGCGTTACTGTAACGCTGTAATTTATGTAGTATTGTGTTACGTAATTTTATTAAAATTTTTACTGTGTAACGAAAACGTAATGGAAATTATTTTATACAAGTAATTTCTTTGATATAACACGTTAAGAATATATATCTACAATCCAACATTTTTTTTAACAAAAATATATTGACTCCGTATTATACTATATAATATATAGATAAAAGATTATATTGATAAAAGTATGCATTCAATTTTTTTTTAAATGTAACTCGAAAGTAACTCTGTTACTTTTTTTTATTTAAAAGTAAAAAATAAAGCAATTTCATTACAATTATATTTGAGCAACGTAAAATGTAATTTCATTACATTTAAGTAATGAGTAACGAGTAAAATAACTTATTACTTTTTTTAAGTAACTTATTCAAAATTGCATGTTAACTAAGTAGACGTGGAGCAGACTTAAGTGAAAATAATTAGATAAAGGAGAAGTAGAAGAGAAGGATAATTATTATTGTATTTGTCTTCGCTCATAGTGAATAATGATATTGTATTAAGTCAAGCGGTCGATGCACATCAATAAATTGTATAAATTATTGAAAATCTCAAATAAAATTAATGCTGTATTAAAAGTATCAGATGATTTATGTGTTAGGAGTTTTATTAACGGATGTTTCATTTTATAATAAACGAAATATCTAATAAGTTGTGAATGGTATAAATAGATTTCGATATTAAATAATAGTTAACATTATCTAATGATTTAATGTAACACTTTTCTTTTGAGATAAAAATCTACAACCCCACCCCTTTTCCACTGAAATACAACAGATTGTTACGAGTGATTATCGCTGAAGGGGTTTTATTTCTAGGGTATCTTGTTAGAACTTACTCAGAAAAGAGAACAAGTATTAAAAGTTTATGGAACGAACATCAAATATTTTGCGTTTGTCAAGCCTATGGATGAAACAGTTGTCACGGTTAACGAGAAAAATGTTTTGCAAGTGTGGGATGTTTCGACTGGAGAATTCGTAAACATTTTCAATATCCATTACAACAATAGCGGTTAGGTACCTAATGCGTAGTAAGTCTACTGTTATAATTTGTTGTTTTTTAGAAAAATGAGATGAAACTCAATGGGGTCGTGACAAATGTGTGTAGTAATCCAGTTTACAACTATATTGCTATTTCGTTTAAAAACGGCAAAGTAGAATTGCTGAAAACAGATCAGAAAGCAAACGTTTTTGAACACATCGCAAAATTAGTGTTGTGTGACGAAGAGTTATCTTCGGTACGGTTTTTCTCTGACGCTAAGGAATGTATAGTGACTAGTTTTCCATCCGGCCGATTTTATCACATCAGCGTAAGTATTTATATTAACGATTGTCGATTAAGTGTCATTATATTAAATGGCAGCGCGCTTAACTAATTAATCTTTCCGTCTATTTTTCAATATTGTACACATATTATTTTACGAAATCAATATAGACGATTAATTTTTCTCCATTTTAAGGGTATAAAACGAATTATAATTATTATAGCTATTACACTGTCGTTATTTTGTTATTTGATCTTATTATTATATACATTTTAATTACGAAACAATATGCGTTAGGTTGAAGTGGGGAAAATGTGTTCGGTCGTAGGAGAATATCATTTGGGAAAGCAGATTATCGACATTGAAATATTCGACGATAAAAAGTTATCAGTTCTAACGGTTTTGTATAAAGGAAACCAGAAAACCTCTGAGTTAGTGGCAGGAAATAATATTGTGATATTTGATAAAAATTTCAAAACTGTTTTCAAATTGATCGATACGCAATATTACTACACGACAATATTCAAATGGTTTTCGTTTGATGTGCCTGACACGATAAACATAGCTCTTACCGTGGTGATGTCGAGATGTATTCACTTAATGACAGTAAATATTATTCAGGTAGGCTGTGGATATTTGATTTTATGTTATTTTACATTCACAATCTTCTGTTTGACGAATTTGACATACGTCTTTCGTCGTTTTTGGTTAAGGAAAGACTATTGAAGTCAGAAACACTACCGTTGGACCACAACCTGAGAAGTGTGAAAACATTCGTGGGGGGAAACTATTGCGTTACATTTAGTTGCGACGGTACATATAGCCTATACGAATTCGGCGACGGTGGTCAATGGAAAAAAATTGTTACGGTCAATTGTAGCCACTGGCAAACCGGTGGATTGAAAGCCGCACAAGTGGACGATAATGGGCGTAACATATTAACGTTGAGCCATCAAGGAAACTTCATGTGTACCGGCTTCAAGTAAATTAAACAACGAATGTACAAACAGTTGAGTTTAAATATTATATTAATAATATTGGATTTTAGGAAAACTTGTAATCACATTAGAAGAACAGTCCGTCGAGTTGACACACCGATAACTATTATAGGAAATACTAAAACTGAAGGAATTGGTTTTGATGGCGGATCTGACTGTAAGTTGAATAATAAGGATAGTTACTAATTTATTAAATTGTGTTTCGTTTTTTTTTTAGCTCTTGAACGAATGACTTGGACAATGATTAATCAAAAGAGTACATTGAATGCCAGAAAAATTATACATAACAAACAAAAAAATCAAATAATCGAAGAGTTTGAAAAGATAAAAAATCAAGTAATAAAAAAATAACGAGTAGATGTATTATTTAATTTTAGTTATCTATAGTAAACCGTACTCCATAATTTCTGCACTCGTAAAATATTTTTGTTGTAGCTTCTTACTTTGTTAGAACGGAATACTAACGGACCAGAAGATACGAAAATAAATATAGAAGAATTTGATTTAAATGTAGATTATAGATTATGGTTTAGAGAAAAATGTAAAGTTGAACGTGACCGGTATGAAGAAAAAATCCTCAGTGATATAAATAACATGAAAATGGAAACTGAAAATATTCTAAAGGAACACTGGGAATCTTTATACGTCAAACCAAAATCTATACACGTATATCTGTTTGAATAATCAGTATGATTAATTATTCTTTTCATTTCAAATTTAATTTTAGTGCCTAAAAAAAATTATACAAAGTAGATAATTATCCAATTAGTATAATAGATCAAGAAATAATAGAAAAAGCAAATACGATAATTAGAAAACGATTAATAATTGAAGATGAAGAGAAACCAACTGCAGTTATCATGGATGTACAATATTCTAAGTAAAAAAAAAAAAACAAATAATAAAAAAGCGTATTTAATAAAAATTATGTAAAAATAAACATATTTAAGGGATTTTTTCGAGTTGTCGGACAATAATCAAACGACCACTTCATCGGAATATATTTACAGACAAAGCAATGACAGTTCATTGATGGGTTCAATAAGTCACAGATTTGTTAACACTGTCAAGAATTTGAATTCTCAGTACAATTATTATAAACTAGACATGGCTAAAGATGAAATAGTTTTGCTTCAAGTACGTTTATACACAACAAATATATATGTTTTGACCAGATTTTTTTTTCCTTCCTGTTTTTATTTTATAGTTTATGGTCAATAAATTAAAACACAACTTCAATAAACTGTTCGATGACATGTTTATTGAGAAACAACGGCAACTAGAAAACTTGAAGCGATACAATGACAGGTTACGTGTGATCGAAACCGAGTTCAAATTGGCATGCAAAAGTAATATATAGCAAGATGAATGAATGCGGGTAAATGCAATCTCTTTTAAATAATATGTTGTGGTGTTTAGTCGAACTTGCCGATCCGTCACCGGTGGATTACAAATGGGATCAGTACGAACAGACCGATAAGCTCATATATGTCGAAAATAACGAAGTTCCTATAAAACCGTACCAGAAATTATCTGGCGAAATTATATTGACCGACTATAATTTGGTTAAAGAAGAGCACGATGAACAACTGCTGTTACCATCCAACGAATTTCGGAAACGGGCGCTGATTGATATGATGGACGGTGTATTGGAAAAGAGATGGGAAGATGAGCTGAAAAATGACGTGCCAATACCTCCATGCATGGTTGGGTGATTTTGCTAAACGTGTTTACATGATCTAATTTACGTCCGAATGTATAACGATTGTTGTTTTCAGCTGGAAAAAAAACCCGAAGATTACTCACGAGAAGATTGCATAGCTATAAACGAATATGAAAAGGCAGTCGTGGCATGGAATGACGAGAGATTGAAGTATAAAAAGATTCTCGAAAAAGAAAAGGCCAATATTAATCAACAAATCGAGGAGAACGTGAACAAATTCGATAATAACGTATTCAATCTTTTTCAAATTAAGCTCAAGTACAATGCAGCAATCAATCAAGAGTACTTGAAAATTATTAGACTTTCGAAAATGTTAAGCGATAGTGATAGACGGAATCAACAGATTAAACTGCACAAGTTAGTGAAATTGTTATGTTTTTTTTTTTTTAATGGTGTATAAAATAAGACATTTTTTATTTGAAGGGAAACTAATTTGGAAATAGAAAAAACCCTCGGGCAGTTGACCAAAAAAATAGCAAAAACTGAGAACTCTCTCAGTAATTTGCTTAATACTATAGAAATATCGAAGCACAAAAACAACATTCTTAACAAACGTTTTAAATCTGAGTTCCCCTCTAAACTCATATACGAACAAGCATTAATCGCTTACAAGTAAAATTCACATTTTTTTTCGCATGGTTGTATAAATACCGATAAAATTTCGATTTGTTTTAGCCGGAGACCTAAATTGCAAAGCAACAAAAGTTATTCTTCGTTACTCGGTTATCAATTTGTTAATACCATAATGGATCCCACTGACAATAAACTGGATCTTTTGTGGTCGGAGTTCGTTAAATATTTGGACACGCTCAGGACGTACGACGATTATAAATACGTAGATGATTATAAGTTGAATATGGACCGGGAGATTTGGCATAAGGTATGCAATTTTAGACGTTTAAAAATCGAATCTGAATTTAAAATCAGCACATATCAAAAAGACGTCGCAGACAAAACTAATCTATTAGATAATCTGGTAAGAGTTAAAAACGAAAAAGAAACTGTGATTGAAAAATATAAAGATTCCATTATCAGATTGGAAAATCAAGATTTACGTTATGAAGATGATCCGGAGGTTAATATAATACGATTTTAAGTATTTTTAAAGAAATAAAATAACGATACTATTACCTTTTATTTAATTATAATTTGTAGATTCAACTAGTGGTAACACAAGGGAACACTGAAATTGAACTTACAGGACATTTTGACGACTTTGAAAATACTACACTTATAGCTAAACACGTTATTGATGAAGTGAATGCTGAAATCAAAGTAAATAGCTCAATCACAATAACACATAAATATAATCCTTATATATATAAAATAACAGGCCTTTTTTATGTTCTTATTTTGTGACGACACTATTTAATATTTTTCCAATATTTTTTCACATAGGTGTTCCAAATACCTTCATGAATGTCACCACGTCGCTCGATTTTTAATTTTTTTTTGTCTGAGAGCAGGGGAAGGGGGAATTTTATTTTTATTCATATTTATATAATACGAACTAGCAGTATAGACAAATTTATTGGAACAACTTATGAAAAATGTGTACCAAGATATTAAACATTTTAAAAATTGAAGTAGTGGATGGTTATGCGAACACGTTATTTTAACGTTATTTAGCACTTGATAAAATTAAATAAAATCATTTTTTTTCTTCTTTAAAACACAATAATGTGTGTTGATTTAAGAATTTCATTTTTAGAAAGTAAAAATTACACACGGGTAAATCTCGGTAATTCAACTAGTACTACATAAATAATCCTCAAATGAGACGAACTTGCATTTTAAGGCCAATTTTACTCGATTAAATACTTGCATTATAAAAAATGTCGTGTTTATATTTTTTTTTGTATTTAGTATAAAACAGATATTTTAAAATAATTATTTTTTAGGAAATGGGCAAAATCAAAATTAATGTTTTATCTAATTTACTGATGTTCAAACGTAAATACCGATTGTTAAAATGGGAACACGATATTTTAAAAAATCATAAAATGACATTGAATAAGTATCGTTTTGACGTTATAACATCCATGAAAGTGACTGAGAATATGTTACATTATCTGAAATTTAAGACGAAAGGTATAAACATTGCTAAACAAGCCGAACAAAAAGTAGATAAAGAACTAGCGGGAATCCAAATTGTAAGTGCTGTTCACTGTTATGATTACGATTTATTTATACTGGTATTTACTTTTGTTATTTTATATGAATTGTTTTTAAGACTTATTCAAAAAAAAAAAAAACAGCTGAAGCGTCATTTAAATGAATTGTGTAAAAAAATACGGGTCATATCAAAAGAAAACAAGAAAACCGACAAAAACATTGACCAAATGAATCTTCATTTGTCCACATTGAAAAACAAAATCGATCACAGTTTAACCGATAAATTAAAACTAGTCAGTGATTTAAGGTAAAATTAGTTATCATTTTTGTATCTTGACAAAACATAGTTCTTGAGTAAATGTTACCAAGTGACCGTCGACCGCAGTCATCTAGTGACCTTTACTAACCAATCCCGCTATTTTATTTAATTTTGTTTTTTTTTCTGTAATGATTGTTTAATTTATATTCATAAAATCATATTTTATAATATTATGTTAATATGATGTAAATTATATTGGATATACTAAATTTAATAGATCGTTGATTCTGATTAAAACCAAAATAATTTTAGTAGACATTCCTCAAGTCTGCAAAATATATTATACACATTTCCAAAATAACTCTTAATTCGTGTAGATTAAACAGATTTATTTGATTATGTTTTAGAACAAAAAATATTATGAAGCGTGCTCAAATGATGACCAGCATACAAGAGTTACACAATGAAATTCACGTGTTGCAGACTCAGTTGGAATTATTACTTTTGAAAACATTTCCTACCCTTTACAATATTCCGAAAAATACTAGTATAAGAAAATAGTACGATTATGGGTGTACTATATTATTAACAATTATTACTTGATTTTAATAAGTGGTCTTAATACAAGTATGTTTATTTTCATAGTTAAAATCCATAGTGAATGAAATACGAATTTTGTTAACAATTATTCGATTTATTAACGAAAAATGTGTAGAGAATTCTTAACACGTAGTCTTGGGTCAATTTAATTACATTATGATTTTCAAAATGCATATGTAACTGAGATATTCAAAAAAATTTTTTTTTTCAGGCTTCTTATTCGTTATAAAATAACTACAATCAAAGATTTTTAAGTAAAAATAACGGAGTACTAAACATAAATTATAAATCAGTAATATTTTTGAATATTTAAATAAATTTATTTGGTATTCGAATAGAACAATTTTTCTCTTTTTTTTTTTTTTTGAAAATACTATTGTAATTTTTCATTCCATACTTGTCGATATTCATAAAAAAAATAAATAAATTCTTTTTAAAATCTAAATAATTAATTTTTTATTTTTGTTTAATGAATCCACATGCTCGTCTTTTTAGTAACATTTTAAAAACTGAGTACCCTCATGTTTCATCAAATATTCTTTTTTAGAGAATAATAACTTTTCCATGTATATAACATATACCTACCGTAGTGCTCATATTTCAATAAAATGCGTCATAAATGTAGAATAATATCAAGTATATATGTATATAAAAAAAAATTCGTACGGCTTACATAAGATCACTTGAACCCTACCCAAGTATTGTGCACGCAGACCACTTGATTTCCTCGAAGGTCCAAAGGTACACTACCCTGAGTAATATGAATTAAATGACGGAGTATGAAGTTTGCATACCTACCATATGACATAAAATAATAATGAGGAAAATGTTATAATACGAATATGTAGAGAACAATGAAATAATGATCAAAAATAGTGCACCGAACAACAATGCCATTTGTATTGTTCGTCTCCTCCGTAAATATTGTAATTAAAACGAAACAGAAACGCGTTTTGAGTACCAAAAATCTGTAACACAAGTCGTTTATGTATTGTTGTGGTAGAGCAACGCGTGGTTCCGGGCATACCGTTGTCTTGCATAACTATTAGTTCATAACAAAAGTTACTCGCAATTAGTTTCAAATCCAGTGGTGCACGTCTTATGGATCGAGAGAGATTGTCAATCGCCCCTGAAGAAATTGGATGGTTGACCATAGACGCGTTGTTATAGGTCTACGAGCTACAATAACAAATATAATGTTTTTCACGCACTTAGTAGTGTACGGTAATACATTATTGTGCGATAAAATCTAATTTAAATAATTTTTTCGGTTAGGCGGTTGCTATTAATACATGTTTGACCCATGTTGGTAAGATTTAGTGGTCCAACACAAGTGTTTGGATTTCGTACATGTTTCATAATCAGACCGAATTAAAATTTAAAAATAACATGGATAATTTAGTCTGGCATTCGAACTATAATTCGACGATTGACACTTCGTTCGACGCGGTGATCGTTATTCTTGTGATAAATTACTACAGGTATGTACGTTTATTTAACTTAACGATTTGAGTTTTTTGTGCGAGTGTTGAAAAGTGTCCAGCATCAGTACACTAATTCCTGTGTCCCCGTCGCTTAATATTTTAATCTCACTTTACTTTTATAGTAGACACAAGTGTTCGGTTCATCGATACCTGAATATCTGAATATCCTACTAACGACGGTAATATAGCGATTTTATCGATTCGAATAACAGCATTATCCGATCGTGCCACTTCACCGGGAACGGGGTAACGAACTAATACCGATGTGTTACGACGAGTACGTCTTTACGGTTTCAAATATCTTGTACTGCAGGCGCTTTATACATCAAGTTTTTATCGCAATAATTGCTTCGCCGAAAAATTAAAACAAAACGCAAAATTATGTTGAGCTTGTTCTATGAAATGTCGTTACGAATGTTATCTTTCAGACGAGAGTTCATGATGTTGAAATACGAATAATAGAGATTTTCTCTATATTCGAGATAAATTCAAATACGAACCACAGTCGAGTAATGAAACACAATTATTATTCAAATCATAAATGTTAAATATCCCCACGAACCGAATAATGAACAATAGTAGTATCCGTTATCGTCGTGAAACATTCGCGTGGTATATTATTCGTCGAAAACGCGTTTAACTATTATAGTTATCATCAATATTAATCATATTAATGATTTTATAGTGTTTACAAATAAATTAAAATTGAAATTTTTTCATCAAACGTGAATGATTGCTTGCTAGTTCGGAAACTCAGTTTCTTTTGGTTTTTTAAACATTTTTCCCCTGATCTCGGTTCTGGTTTTTAGAAATTCCGCTCCCGGTTTTTGTTAAACAGAACTTTCAGCTTCTTTTATGACTTGAAGAATTTAATATTTACACAAAGCTTACTTACCTACGGTAAGTACTTTAAAAGTGTTTAAATTTCACGAGTTTTCACGAATACGGAGAATAAAAATATTTAATTAACGCGTTTATTTGAACTAACGTTTTTTAAAGGTTTAATTTATTTTTCCCCTACTTGTCGATTTCTGTTATGTGTATAAAGTTAGGTTAAAAATTATATTGATGTAAATGAAATGATCACTTTTCGTATATTCGTATAGGACATTTGATAAAACCCGAGGATTTCATTAAATAATGAATATTTTGAAAAAATGTGAATCTTTGAAGTTTAATTATCGATTTCGGGGTCAAATAGAAAAAGGAGAAATAAACGTGGTTCAGTTTTGGTCCCAGGACTTCTAAACGTTTTTAACATGACTGCAAGTGTTCATTTAGGTCGAACCGCTGTCCATTACTTGTGGCTCAATAATAATCTGCGTTCGGAATAATGAGACCAATTATTAATTTTGACAAGTACGTGTTTCGCCCATCTATTATATTTTTAAACCATGTATGGTATTGTTTTTTCGGCAAATGGATAGTATCATTGCTAACACGGCTTCAAAGAAACTTTTTAGTTTTTCCGTTGTTGAGATCGTCGGAGAATTAAAGGATCTAGGAGGAAAAATTGCCGAATCTTTTTCGCATTATATTTTTGAGCTAAGTGCAGACGGAAACCATTTCAGAAAATATCACACTAAGCTCTCTAGCCTTGTATGGTAGTCTGGTAAATCTAACATTATTGTACCTTTTTTTTTCTTCCTTTTCATATCACCGTGGTGCACCGGTTAGAATTTTATTTAAAGTGGTTTTTTTTTTTTTTTTTTGCTGGAGATATTTTCACTATTACGCACATATAATGTTTATTTTTTATGAAATTTAGAATAAAATGAATTATTGTGTTCTTGTAAAATTCTCTACAGTATAATTATGTTTTTATTCTCTAAAATTAATTTCATCGGGAATGGAGATGTATTTCTTTCTTGTTACTTGTATACGGTATAGTTAATGTATTGTACTAATGCATCATGTAGTAAAATGATGATTATAATATGATAATGCTGCATACTTTTTGACGTTTAGTTTCTTTTGCCATAGTGACCGTGAAGTAATCTAATCGAGTTTCTATGGTTTCCATTACTCAGAACAGACAAAACACGGGCCTGACGCTTTATATGTATAGTGTTAATGTAAAATAAATTCCAAATTATTATCATCACTTTTTCCTGTAAAGGAGTTAAGCTTCCATATGCTTTATCTCAAATAGCGTTGATCCTAGGCATTTGCCATTTTTTTTGCCTCTGGTCGTTCACGTCGATTACTTGTAACATTATATATTATCATAATGTTGCTATCAGTAGATACACGGTCATGTTCCCATCAAACACGTGCATGATTTTGTAATGTGTTTATTATGCTTAAAAAGCTGCTAGTTTTGCCATGATTTTCCATTAATATAAAGATTAGGTGCAGTTATTTTTTTTTTTAATTTGTTATAGTTTCCGATGGTAAATAGTTGGAATTTATTTAAATTTTCAATGAATATAGATTTTCGTACATTTTTGTAAATATGGTACAAATTATTAAACCAATAATTATAACAACAAAAAACAATGCTATTCGTAGGATAAGATATTTGTCATATTAATTTGGGGTAAAATGATTGGATATTTTCAAATCGTTATAGAAATACTATTTTGGTAACGTGAGTGAAAGTATTAAAAATCTAACATGGGGAAAATAAAGATAAAAATCTTTTTTCTTTAATAATGTTTTAATAAATATAAATACTCAAGAGTTTTAAAGGTTTGAATAAAAAAATTAATATCTTAATCATACTATTGAGTATCTTTTGCATTTACTATAATTATTTTTTTAACTACTGTAAATTTAACTTATTTCGGCTGTATAGCTAACTTATTAAAATCAATTTGAATACAGTAGTAATAATCCGTTATCAAATATATGCGTTTAAATAGCTAGTATTACAACTGATGTAGTTAACTTAGCTTAACTCTAGTGTGGAATAAAAATTATCCATTTTCAAAGTATTAAAAGTCTTATTTATTCTTTTTGTAAATCTAGTGAACACTTTTGGATAATTTTTAATAATGTTGAGAGAGTAATTTTACTTTTTTTTAATCTGATATAAATTTTTTAGTTTTATTTTTTCATTGCGTATAAAATGCATTATTTTTGTTTCTGATAAATCTTAAATCAATTTAGAATAATCAATATAGTCTTTAAAATAAATTGTTGAATTGAAACTGAAACCAATAATTCATTGAATAAAAAAATGATACGTGTTTGGCCCTTATAATTTATAAACACAATAATTAGTCATGAAATTATTTAAATCTTGATCGAATTTCAAGTAAAACACTTTTCATATGTAGAAATAAATCTTTTGTTAATTTTAGTTGAATACTCGATCTTTTACTTTTGTTGATTTGTTTATATTTGTTTTCAGTTTTTAATAATCGTGAGTCGAGTGGATATCATGTGATTTTATGGTAAATATTTCATGTATAATGTAATTGCGCATTTCAAATAACGCAACAAAGTAATTAAAAAAAATTACAACTAAGATTTTGTTTTTCATTTCATCATTTATTACATTTGTTATTAAATTGAAAAAAAACCTATCGTTGTAAAAAAAAGTTATTATTCGCTCCACTCAAATCGTAATACAGCTAAACAGTTACGCTTAGTAAATACTCAAAAAAATTAAAACTATTTATTCCGAACAAAATTGTAAATAGTATTGGGATCTAAAAAAATAAAAAAATTCTTATTAGCGGATGAATTAAAATAAATAAGTTGGACTGTTTAAATTTTCTCCGTAGAACGTTATTAAAATTAAACCCTACAAAATTCAAGTAATAATGATATCGCGGATGAAATATTATCTGTATTCTGATCTCGGAAAACACCGAGCTAAATCCAAAAGCATATTGTTGTTAGTATCTCTGGTTTTAGAACATGCTGTTATAAACATAACAACTTATATAAGCGCATACATGTTCTACGTATAAAATAATATTTTAGTATAATGTATCATGTTGTAACAGATGCGAATCCAGGATTTCATTATGGTGAGGAACAAATACACATTAAATAATTTTTAAACACACGATATTTTCATTAAATCATTTAAAACGTATAATTATATAGAATATTTTATATTTGCATACATTTTAATTGTATTTTATGGAATTAGATGTTATAAGAATTTAGTAACATTTATTTATTTTTTTATTTATTGAAATAATACACTGGTTAAGACCTAATTACATGAATGAAATTTAAATAGTATTCGAAAATATTATTAAACATATGCAGAATTAAATTAAAATTAAAAAAAAAAAAAAATAAAAAATAAAAATAAAATACAATTAATATTAAATAAACATATCAAGTTATATAATGCTAGGTTAGCGGAAACGTGATTCTATAAGAGGAGAAGGAAGTAAAAAATAACGGATCAATGTTATAAATATTTACAGAGTTCATGATTCTCTAGAGTAACCTAAAGAGTAAATTCTAGACAGTGGGCTCTTTTCAATCTATCTTTAACCAAGGTTTAAATCGTCGTAATATGGAAAAACTTCTTTCAGCGCTCAAAACATTGATGAGTAAAACACATATTTTCAAAAGAAGGTTAATATCTGGATAGATGTCTTTAATACACTTAATGAAAAAATATGATGAGCGTTAATTGGCATTATTAAACCATCATCATTTTATAGAATCCATTTAGTTTTCAAAAAATTAAACCCTGATATCATTAATTTCGAAACAAAATACAAATATTCATTAAAAAAATATGTATATAATATATACTATATATGTATAACTCTATATATTTTTTGATAAATTTAAAATAATGATTGAAAAATCATTTTTAATATTTTCAAAATATGCCATGGAATACATTTGATTAAATTATGTATTTCTAGAGTATTGGCGTTGGGAAAGGGGCGTCCCCATCGTCCAATGTGTCCAGACACATTGCAATAGCCCTTCCTTGACCTTAATTGGTTGAGGAAGTCTGGTCCTCCAGGTTAGGAGTTAAGCGCAGGGCTAATAACCCTGCCTAGTAAAAAGAACATTATTTTGAAACCAACTACACCTAAGCCTTGGACAAGATTACATGGTTTTAAGACTGGTTTTTGGAAACGGAACGCTAATTTTAAGGTAGCGACATGGAATGTAACTAGTTTGTATAGAATGGGCGCAAGCCAAAACCTAGCTGATATTCTTAACACATACAAAATTAAAATAGCAGCCATACAGGAAATAAGATGGTTGGGAATAGGACAGCTAATGGTGGGAAAGTACACAATACTTTACTCTGTAATGGAAAATACACATCACTTCGGTAGCGGTTTTGCAGTTCATAGTACTGCTTCATAATACTGTTCAGTATCTGAACGGATATCAATATTGACAATCAACACAAGCCCAATTAATATTTGTTTAATAAATGGACACGCACCCACAGAAATAAGAGATGACAACGTGAAAGACGACTTTTGCGACAAATTGACCGAAATATATGAGAGTATCACGGGAAATGTAATAAAGATTATATTGGGTGACATTAATGTAAAGTGTAGACGGGAACAGCAATATTTCTCTTGCATAGGAAAGAAAAGTTTGTATAGTCACAGTAACGATAATGACCAACGAATGATATCTTTCGCAACATCAAATGGATTGACTGTCAGTAACACTACGTTCCCGCACAAAGATATTCATAAAGCCACGTGGAGGTCACCGGATGGTAAGACCCTGAACTAAATTGATCATGTCCTTATATAGACTAGATACCGTAGTACCATTTACGATGTAAGAAGTCATAGAGGCGCAGATTGTGACACTAACCACTATTTAGTGATCGCCAAACTCAGATCAAAGTTAAAAAGCCAAGCGAAATTAAAGCAAGAAAAGAGAACTGTAATAAATATACTTAAATAATACTTAAAGACGAAACCGTGAGGAAAGAGCACGAAAACGAAGTCACAACAAATCTTAAAAAAAATAATACGCGTATGGATATCGAAATGGTTTGGGAGAAAATGAGCAATGCTGTTAAAAAAACGGTGACCAAAAGCATTTGCGAACTTAAAAGATTAAGAAACACTTAATATAATGAAGTATGTAGAATCGCTGTAGATAAACAGATAAACGTAGCAATACAAAAGAGGACTTTATTAAGAATAACTACCAAATGATTAAAGAAGTTTTTACACGGGAACGGAAAAATTGCAAAAGCACCCTTCAAAGGGAAAAAATAAAATTCTTTAATAATACTACAAACTGTAGAGAATAACCATACACAGTGTAGAACTAGAAACTTTTTTAGAGTTATTACACAGTTTAAGCAATTCAATCCAAACTGGAATGCAATTAGAGACCAAACCGGGCAAATATTAATGAAGTCAGAGTCAAGAGCTGAGAGATGGAAGGGATATTTTGCAAAATTACTAAATGGTATAATCAGCCAGTACCTACAGTACACCGAGTATGAAAGAGTGGAGCCACACGTAGAGAATGTTAGTCTAGAAGAAGTGAAAATCTCAATATTTGGTCTGAAAAATTGGAAAGCACCGGATACCGACAATATTCCAGCAGAATTCATAAAATACGGAGGCGAGGAGCTACACATACAAAATCTACAGATTGTGTCAGCAAATATGGGCAGGAGAACGAATAATGGACAGTTGAAATGATGCAATCATTATACCTTTCTACAAAAAGGAAACAAGACAAAATGCGATAATTATAGGGGGGTGTCGCTCTTGAACTCCTCATATAAAGTCTTTGCTAGAGTGCTACTAAATTGTATTGTCCCCTATGCAGAGAGTTGCATAGGTGACTACCAATGAGGCTTCCGGAAAGGACGGTAAACCACAGAACAATTATCCATAATAGGTCAAATAATTGAGAAGAGATACGAATACAGGCAAAATATGTGGCAACTATTTATAGATTTTAAAAATGCCTACGAAAGCATTCACAGAGATAGTCTCTATAATAATATATATAAGTTCGGTTTCTCGAAAAAATTAATAGCACTAACTAAAATGTGTATGAAAAATACGAAATACAGAGTGAGAACACAGAATGTAACATCGGAAACTTTTACAGTGGAAACCGGACTGAAGCAGGGGGGCGCCCTGTCCCCAGTACTTTTCAACCTTGCACTAGAGAAGGTAGTAAGGATACTACAGGATAATGAAGATGGCTTATTAATAAGTCAAAACTAAATACGGCTTTTAGATTCACGGACATAATAGGTGATTCGTTTGCAGACATAGCTATAACACGCCCAGAGTGTTAAAAGAAGCAGCGAAAAAAATAGGCATTAAAATAAATACCGAAAAAACAGAGATAATAAAACTAATTGAGAGTAAGGAAGACCCCTACGAGATGGAGGACTTAATCTTTGAAAAAGTTTATGATTTTAAATACCTAGGAGCAACTTTAAGCATAAAAAATGAGTGGGTAAAGGAAATAAGTATTCGAATAAATAAAGCCCCAAAAGCCTGTTACGCACTGACAAAATTCTTATGATGTCTAGAAAAACAAAAGTAAGACTGTATGTGGTTATTATAAGATCGATTCTCACATATGGTTGTGAAGCCTGGACGACTACAAAACATACTGAGAGAAATTTAAGTACATTCGAGAACAGAGTTTGGAGGAAAGTATGTGGACTTACTTATCGATGAAATCACGAGGAACTGGTGGAGGAGATATAACAAAGAATTATATGATTTATTAGAACTAGCACCCGTAACAAGCTTTATTAAGGGTTAATGGATATAAATGGTTAGGTCATATAATGAGAAGAGGGGAAAACGAAGCAGTTAGAGTTACATTGGAATGGAAATCACATGGTAAAAGACCTAGAGGAAGGAAGAACTAGGAAAAGATGGATCGACGTGGTAGAAGAAGAACTAAAAGCACTTGTAGTTGAAGATTGGAGAGGAATAATAAAAGATAGAGATAGGTGGCGAAGTGTAGTAATGGCGGTAAAAACTCTTAGAGAGTAGACAGGCCAAAAGAAGACGAAGAAGATGTACTTCTAGAGAATTATTATTGAATCGAGCTATTAAATCTTCAGTGATAGATTGAAATGTTAATTAATCGACTTACAAAATATACTTTTAATGTAAATATAATTACGAATAATTTTTATCTATTATAGTTGGTTTGATATGACTGTCTTTTATTTACTTTTGGTAATTTTAAGGCATTACCTAATTTTCCTGCAATTTCCTGTACTTTATGAAAATATTTATTATATTACTTTCACGGTTTTGTCGTTTTTCATTAATCACACTTAGGGTATCAATTATAATATAATGAACAGTTTTCAAATCAATATTAATATTTTGATATAATCGCCTGAGAAGTAGTATACAGTAGTTAAGAAGAACGTTCGAGAAGCAAATAACTGTTATGATAAATTTCTTAAATTGTTATGAAATATTATATTTAAAATATGTTAAAGTGTAATATTTTTGCTTTGGAAGAACTGAGCTTGTGTCTTCCCATTGCGAAATGATCTTTAATGTTTGTGATATTTCTTGAAATGATTCGGACAACCATAGAACACCTCTGGGTCGTTCTATTCATTAAGTTTCGCAAAGTTGTTGATGTTTTTATTCGAGATACAAAATTAATGATATTTTAGATTGACCAGGTTTTAAGTGGTAGAAGGGGATATTCATTTTTTTTTGTGCGACGTTTAAAAGTGCTGTCTTTTACAGCGTGGTATAACATTAAGTTTATATACATATATATATGGTATTATAAAAAAAAAGTGTTTTTATAAATGGATTTTAAAACTATTGATAGTAATAAAGGTTGTGAGACGGGATGGTCTTAAAGACCCAATAAACCATAAGAAAAAGAAGAAGAAGATAGTAATAAATGGAGCAATTTTTATTTGCTTTTATTTATATTTAATTTTTTGAAAAAACGTCGGCAAAACATTTTAACCTCAAACATTTTTATACATTTTTTTAAATTTTAAATTTTTCAATGCCTATATACATTGTACCTCAATAAATTGCTTTTGAATAAATGTGTAGAATAAATAATAAATATCATAATAAAATGTACGGTTTTTGGTTACAATAATTTAAAAAAGTGTGCGGTTTTTGGAGGCGTCGGTTTACGGTGTACCTATGTGTAACGCGTGTCCGTTTCTCCGAAAATATTTTCACATTTTTCGGTAAAAAAAAAAATAAAATAAATTAACGTATGGTTGACGATACATACTACGTAATATATACTACGCATGTGGTTCAAGTAATCGATTGAGACGTAATAATTACAAACGACAAGCATTTCATGTCCTTTACCATGACTGCATCGTATATTGATGACAGGAAGTCGAATGGAGTCTTTATACGAGACTGCAGCGAACCTCAACGAATAACGATAAAATAGTACTCTTTGTTACTTGTGTGAAATTATAAACTTTTCGTTTCCGAAGAAACCAAACGTGCGACGTTGAACAGTAAGGTTATGTTATGGTTTTTTTTGCGGTGCAAAGCACCCGGAAGTGGTGTTATTTGAGGGGAGGGATGGTAAATAGACGCATTTGCCACGTTCTAGAGGTTAGCTATTCCAAAGTCTCACATCATCGAAATATAAATAGGTCTTTTATAGAGTCATTGACATGTTGTAAATCAGAAAAATGTTAATGGTACTATACGGGTATTTATGTACAAAGTACAAATCATGATATTTTTGGACCGGTAAACGTCCTTTCTCACCGCGTTAATAGGGACTCTGGTAAAATAAGCCATTGGGTCGGCAATTTAATATGGGCGTGGGCGACTGTCCTACTCAAGATACAAATGAAATGATGCCACTGGTACCCAGTCAGGTCAATGGCGTCATTTCAGTTTTTGTTAGGGGAGGGCAACATTTTTTATCGCCCCATACTACTGGGGTAAATATGGAGTTTAGCTTACACGTCTTAACTTATACTTAAGGCACATATTTTATATATTATATTATTATACAACTTAAATGTTCGCAAAATATAATTTTGTATTTTATAAACATTACCTAAACAAGGTTAACTTAATCTAACTTAATCCTAAATTAATTTAAGCTGTAAGCGGATATCTTCTATTTTTCATTTTTGAAAATACATCTACTACATCATCTAAACTGATTTTCGCAGTAATATCACTTTCAACAGCTTTAACCAATAAATCACTCAGCCGATCACTTCCCCTTGTCAAGCGTAGATAGGTTTTAATTAATTTTAAGGAAGAAAAAAAAACGTTAATTGGAAGTAGTTGTTACAGGCAAAGGTAAACGAATATTTATAATTTTAAGAGTTTCAGTAAAAGCTTTAGGAAGTTCATTTAAAATTGTAGAATTAAAAAAAAAGATCATGAATTCTATCATATATTATATAAATTAATTAAGGAATATATTATAATAAATTAAGTTGGTTAATTTAAGATTTTTGCAGATAAGAATTCAGTGTGAAGTACTAAATTATCAATTTTAAAATAACTATAATGATTAAGGAAATTCAATAAATAGGGAATTTTGAAATTAAAATAATCAGGACTGGAAGATAAGAAAATATTACAAGTAAAAATTATTTCATTGCTAGAATTGCTGAAACGATGGTTAAATTTATTCAAAAATCTAATATTTTTGTAAAATGCTAATCTATAGTTTATACCAATTGGAAATTGATAGATATTTTGGCAATAAATAATTATCTAGTACGCAGTATTTTCAAATGATAAAAATACGCTTGATTTTTCAAAAATAACGGCTTGTGGCTAAGCGACAACGACAGGCCCTTTTTAATCAGACAGGGGCAAATGTCCACCTTGCTCCTCCCTAAATTACGATACTGGGTTAGGTCATGTTAATACAGTAAATAATGATGGTTGTTGTGGTGCGTCGGAATTACTAGCAATTATTGTTAAACTGTATCTGTAAAAATTATTTCGTCACGTTGACGATTGTGCACTTGTTATTTGACTACAAATCTTTGATCAGTTGCGTTTGCAGGTAATACTGTCGCGTAAAATTCGTTATTGTTTACACTGATAAATCCTATACGTTAACGGCAGAAAAATCGATAGTCGATCGAGGGAAACTTAATTTATTAAATCTGAATAAGTGAACAGTTTTTTCTGCACTCGTAAGTTTTATTAGCCACATGTACGCAATAATAATATCATAGAATGGAAATGAATTCATGTTACAATATTATACAATTTTTGACTGGATTAAATTTGCAACTGCCCTTTTTTCTTTTTTTTACATGGTTATATTTTAAATTAATGAATCTATTCTCAAAAAATAATTGATCACACTTCTGTATTACAGTGTATGTGTGTGTGAGTGTTTTTATTTATGTTATTGCTTGACCGTTTCGATTCCATTTGGCATTTATTTCAATTTTTGGTTTATCTGTATGAAAGATAAATCTATAATTTAATTTAAATTAATAAATATGTTATATTAATGTTCTATATACAATGTACACTATGTACGTATCCTTTTAAACATTAATAAATTCATTCATCAACGGAAAATAATAATAATAATAATTGTGATCCTTATTTAGTAATAGTTATGATGTCTGGAATATAAATGGCTACTCTCACGGAATTTTGTAGACGTCGATATGTACAGTGTAATGTATATTGTACACCCCAAAGTACCGACTCCTGTAATCATTATAATAACATATAAATAAACAAATGCTTCGACTAGAGTATTATTATATTTTTAAAGTTGTTTATAATTTATATATACTCGAATTAAAAATTAATCATCAGGTGAAAAGTGAAGTCAATAAAGTCATGACTAAAAAATACATTATACACATTTTAATGTATTTAATTAATATTATACATTTTTTATATATTTAAAATATATATATTAATTGAGTCGCGATTTCATTGTCTTTGTATTTACCTGAAGATGAATTTTTAACTCGAAACAGATCGTATTTTACAAACATAATAATACGCTAGGCATTTATTAATTTCTATATATAAAATATTTGTTTACTTATTTTTATATTAATCTACGAGAATTAAATAATTACTAATTTTTAATTTTTATTTAATTTTTTATAATAATATAATATTAGACGACCGCATACAGTGTATTTATTATTTCCTGTGTTGTTTCGCAAATGATAGTTTTATTTATTAAAAATTTTTTTTTCGTTTCCACATAACTGTGATGTGCGCACGCTCGCGTATCATAATACCATAAGTATTATTCATTATCTTATTATTATTATTATTATTATTATTATAATTATTAATATTATTATTATTATTATTATTATTATCACCATCATCGTCATTATAGTTATTATTACCTTTTTTTTTTCCCCACCATAGGACCCATGAACAAGTAAATTAGTTTATGCATTGCATGTCGAGATATACGACAAAGGCGTGATGCTATGCCTTTTTTCCTTCCGTTTGATTAATGATTAGGGACCGTCAACATTTATAACACTTCGGCCACAGGGGACGGACGTGCGACACTGCTGTTGCTGCTGTTCTGTTGCTGTTCGTAGTACAGACTCTCGCAAGATATATTATACACTTACATTCTTCTGGAAATTTAATTAAAATTTTCCGATCCCTATGAACGCTTGTCAATGCGTGGTGTGCGGGAAACACCACTTGGTGGAAGAGATTTGAATCAAAAACGTATATCAAAACTGCAACGAAACACCTGCTACACACTGCAACTGTCCTATATTTTTCGTCTCCTGTGCCATATTATTAAACATATTAAACACTTTCCGAGTTGGGTTATAGCATTTTTTTACTCCTTACTTCCCTTTCCCGTCCTGTTGATGTCATGATGATGTGAAATAGCATTAATCGAGAGACTCCACGCGTGTGAACAACGGTCATGGCTTATTTTCGACGTCATCAAAATGCTCGAGTGTTAATGAAACACATATAAAAGTACGAAATTATAACGTGGCCTTGTTATCGGTGAACACCGTAGTCTTTACGCCATCAGGTCGGAGCTTCCATGTCTGTTCCATTTTTACTAATTCTACAGAAATAACAATTCAAAAAGTAATTAAATATGATATTGATTTTTTGTTTTTATATATACAGTGGAATCCGCTTAATTGGAACACCGCACATAGGGGACAACCGCTTAATAGGGACAAATTGGCATAGTACCGAACGAATGTATTCGTTTAAGGCTATTTAACTCCATTTATCTGGGACAAACCATCGGTTATATGGGAAAAAAATAAAAGCGTCTAATTAGATATTCTGAATAAAATTACCTACTTTCATATCAAAACTGCAATTAACCAATATTTATGGCTCTATTAGAAAGGCAATGTCATTGATGTTAACCATTTTTTTTTTTTTACTACCACGATAAGAGTCGACTAGCCTACGTACAAAATCGAAAAATTCACGTTCTTTCGTCTTCGTGTATTAATGTATGTGTTTTTATTGATCCCAGTTTGTGTTAAATACGTAACAATTATGTCTCGTAAAGATTTAACGTTGATTGATGAAATGTCTATACTGGATAAAATTAAGGCTCAACCTCATAACACTAGTCTTCGTGAGTTAGAGAAACTTAATAGACACGTCTAAATCGGTACTAAGTTGATTGAAAAATAATGAAAAAGCTATTCGTGCATTCGATATAATAGATAATACTAAATAGTAAATATAATGTACTATTGCTAATAATAATAATAATAATATGTAATTTTTAAATAAAGTATGTATGTAAGTATGTATTTTTCAAATAAAGTTATTATTTATGTACATGCATGCACTTCAATAGTTTCGGTTTATTAGTTATTCAGTTAATCGAGACAGTCGGATAATGGGCATAAATAGGTCACCGCCCAATGTGTCCCAATTAATCAGATTCTACTCTGTATAATATATATTTTTTTTTGGTTACTCGACATATTGTACTTCGTTAAATTTTCATATTTCTCTCTCAAGTTTAAATTATGCAAAGTGGAAATAATTTTGTAAATATATTTTGTAAAATATATAGCATATATACTATATTATGTAGTTCATGACGAAATTTCTTATGCGATGCGCACATAGACGAAAACGATTTTTACGAGCCACCGGGTACAAGAGTATAGTTATTGCCACTCGGATAATTTTATATTTATTTGAATAAACTTTTTCAAAAGAGCCGCGCCGTAAATCTCTTTTTTTTAAATATATTAAAATACTTTTGAAACACACGAAAATAAAAACCAATGGGGAAACTCGCAAGTCGTGTGAGACTCCACGACTAGATTAAATAGAAGAATGAGTGAATAATATTGCTGTATTAATCTTTTCAACTTGAAACTAATGTACCATTAATTAAAAAAATATACATTTATATATAAAAGACATTCTGAATGAAAGAGATCAAATGGAACATTACATACGAGTACTTCTAAAGATAGTTGACAGTAGAATCAAATTTCTTAATAAATTCGGTTGAAATTTTAATGTTCTAACTTTTGCAAAATATAGGCATTTAGAAAGGTGAATAAATTTACCTTGTGTTGACAAACCATGACCAATTAAAATTTAGGAAAAATCAAGAATAAATGATGTAGTAGATTCGGTTAATTACTTTTATCTTATTACATTTTAAAATATTTGTGCGCGCGAAATTCTCGCAGGTGTATATTACGAGAGCTTATCGCAACGGCAGAATCCGGTCGATTGCCACACGTATAGATGGAAAATTAAAGGACGAAGGAG